CATGCCCTTTCCTGCACACAAATACCACACTCATGTGCTTAAGCAGTTTGCTGTGTAAGAGTTAGCAGTGTTGAGCACCTTACAAGATTTTAGCCCCCACCCAAGGAAAATTGTCACTTGTCATTTTATTGCATCTGAAGTATAAGAACTCTCTAGGGAGGGCAGCCAGAATGTCTATAAAAATCTAACAAAGATGTAAAAATAAATTGCAATGACAAGAAAATTATAGTGAATCACAGGTATTTCAGAGGTTTGTAAGTGCTAATTCTAATTAGATCAAATATCTCTAAATATCAGCAGCAGAATTCCAAGCCTAAAGGCAGGTTTTCAAAGTTATACAATTATACATTTCAACTTAAAAAGAAAGAAAAAAAAAAGAAAAAAAAAGGGACTTACAGTCATTTCCAAGATAAGGTCTTCCATTAGATTGTTTGACTGGATCTTGTCCAGGTAACATACTTTTGCTTCCTGTGAAAGGATGTATGTACAAATGTCTCCAGGTTAGCCTTGCACAGTAGTAAAAGCAAAATATGAATACAACAACAGAAGAAGATGTTTTCTTAATTTCTTAATTATCACTTGGATAAGGGCACACATAACCAACAGGAGAAACCTTTAAAATAAAAAAAAATGCTTTAAAATAGCACCTCAGAAGAAGATATATGAAGTCAAAAGACAGAAGAAGATATATGAAGTCAAAAGAAGTTTGTAGATAACAAGAAACAAGGTATTTGAAAATGAAAATTTTGAATTTGAAATTGCTAATATTGAAATTCTACAGAGTATCTAAAACATTTCAAAAAATAGCCTAATAGAAAAGGTTTTATCCCACACACAGAATATCACCAATTGTTGTAACAGAGAGCCAAAGCAAAAGTCAACATCCAGTCAGGCACTTCAGTACAAATCTGATCATAAAGACACATCTTTCTTATTAGTGAGAAAATTAATAAAGAGGCATCTGCCACACAAACATGGGCCAGGGGAATAACCTTGCTTTTTGAATGTGAAATACAAGACACTGAGGACTGACCCAGGTGAGACACAATACTTGAGAGAGAGAAGGATGAGTCACCAAATTAAAGAAGCTAATACATGGCTCTAATAACACAATCACCACGTTCACTGATGTGACCTCCCTAATTTCAAACATTGAACTAGGCTGGGTAATATAAGTTGATTATTATCTTTTTTAACTCTATTCATTTCCTTAGCATTTCTCTAGAAAAGCAAACTTTAAAAGGTCCTTTGAATAATCATCACATTGTACAACCTGGGGAAGGCAAGAGGCCCTTTGACCCCACGGGAAATGGTTTAAAGCTATTCCTGTGCTTTTATACTAACTGCCAGCCAAGAATCTTTCCAGAAGCATGTTACCAATAAACCAGTACTGAGAAATGTTATCTTGCCTAAACTAACATGCTTCATCAAATACCATTTAAATTGGGAAAAAAACCCAACAGAATCATGTATTTCTAGAATACCAAAATGCTCCATTCCCACATTTTCCAAAGGAAACACTCTGATCTCAAAATGACTATATAGACCAAAAATCACTGCTTTATTGTATAAAAAATTATTTTTGAAAAGGAAGGCTCAAAATGCATTATTTCACTGAGATTGAAACAAGACAGCTGGACTGAACTTACTTTTCTATTATTCATTCCAGATTTTGATTTTCATTTCAGTTTTGGGGAATATGAAAATTCAGACTTCCCTCATGCTAGTAGGTGACTGACAGAACGGAACAACATTACCAACTGGAATCTGAGGACCCAGCTGCAATGTAACAGAAAATCACCTCTGGGATTTCCATCATTTTTGTGTTCTGTTATGAACTTGTGATTCTGCTGCCAGTTATTCCTTAAATCCATTTTCTGTTTACTTGCTCATCATACAGATCTGCCAGTTCTGCCAACTTAGGTGGTAACGGTTGCATTTAGCAGTCATCTGCTGTCCCATTTCTTTACACTGGGATCTGCTGCCACACACCTAAAAAAATGGCTACTGAACACATGCAATCAAGTAGACATGTACAGTAGGTCTTGAGGCAGATCTAAACAAGACCTATTCATTCTCTCATTCATCCTTTTAATTTACAAACTAGTTGTCTCATCTTCCTTTCACTTTCTGCTGTTTTGTTTTAATAGTCTAGCTGTATTAGCAATGCATTAAACATTCTCTGTCTTTTTGCATTTTCATTAACAGAGAACTACTCAGTAGGAAAGCCTATATCCTCTGGTAACAGTAAAAGATTGCTCACTGAAAGGAAGATGTTCTCTCTGTAGGTACAATACTTCAGCTGTGCGAGTGTTGGCAGGAATATTTAGTACACGCTCTGAATTACTAAACATTTAATACTGTGATTCTTTAACAGATGACAGAAGAAGGCATTAAATAGGTATCAGAAATTTAAATAAAAACTAGGAGGAAGACAGGCTTACTTCACTAAGATTTCAACTATTTCAACTGTGTAAATATAGAAAATTATTTTTATTTGTTGTTTTTTTACTCTTCCTAAAATTACTATTTCATTATCCTTTAAGCTGATGCAATCCAAACAAAACATAGAAAACAGGACCTTAAGTTACTTTTATTTAGAGCTCAAGTTGCCAATTGAGAACACCATGAACCACCTAAAAACACTGCAGCAGTCTTCAATAAATTGTGGTAAACTTCCATTCTGTCACACACTGTAACTCTGAGAGCTTTTTCAAAGGCCCATGTGGGGTGTGAAGATCCAATTCAATAACAAATACAGAAGTACCAGCATGACCAGAATGTAATAAGGACAACGATTATCTTCAAATAAGACTCAGATAAACTCAACCAATAAATGTGATATTCTTTCTTTTCCTCATAAACTTTCTGGTTTTCATTCACATGAGTTAAAATTTTGTATAAGCAGTATGAAAAAAACCCCTGTGGATGATGTCTTGTAGTGGTACCTTGGTATGAATGCATTAACTACCATCTGAAAAAATAAATGCAAATTCATGAAGTTGACTCTTAAATTAGCATATAATTCAACTGTAATGTCAAATAGGTTTATCTGTCCATGAACCAGACTAATCAGCTGATTCTAAAATATCCAGTCTTTACCTTGATTACTCCTCTTATTTAATGCTTAGCTTTTATTTCTGAAAAGATTTTCCTTTTCATTTATCTTGGCTAGAGCTACATTAAGAAGCTTGTTGCTTTTCCTTCTGCTTGGATTTCATATTTACGTTGCTACCTTCTGTCTAGGGATACATTCAGCCTCATTAAACTTGTGCAGATCTGAAATCTTTCAGTACCTTGTGTATTGTGCTGATTTTTCACTCTTGGATCCACACTTAATGCTATTTGGAGCATAAGACCTTTACAAGGTAGTTCTTTGTGTTTATTCTTCTCTTCTCTTTCCACCTAATATCAAAAGCAGCCAGCTGGGGATAGAAGGTTCTCATATTTCATTTTCATACATCTCCAGTTCCCTCATTTGCAAGTGAGATTAATGTCTTTTTAATTAATCAACACTCTTTCAGGCTTCAGAGCAATACAAATCACTTAGGTATGACCTCTTGCTAGCACTGTAATGAGCTGTACCTGCCACAGGGCTGGCTTCAGCACTCATCACAAGAATCACGAGGACCACTTACATGCAGCTTGGCTGTAGACAACAGCACCTTGCAGGATTAAGAAGGGCCAGTAGTTGAATCCCACTGAAACAGTTAATGTGGGAAGAGTGGCACAGCAATTGGCAACACCTGCCCTTCAGAAGATCAACTACATTTGTCCCGTTTCACCTCAATTTGTCAACTGTGGTTAGTGCTTAGAACTGTTCTCAAGGCCAGGGAAGAAAGAGTATGAATGCTCAGTTCAGTCATACTTGCTTGTAGACATCGACAATATTAAGGTCTGGGAATGAGGAATACTTGTGCATATCTTGATGTATAAAATTTTTCTTATAAATATTATAAAAGTTGTAAATAGAGCAACTACTCATATATTCCACACATAACATTTGGCAAACAATATCTGAAAGAGAATTCAGTCCAATGAAAGTAATTCATTTCAGAGAGCTCTGCCGTCAAGTAACATTTCTCTACTCAAAACCCCACCTGAATGAGCAGTTTTAATCCAAAGTTTTATGTTTTCTGGCAATTGAATTTCTGTCTCTGCCCACAGAAAAGAGGTATCACCACACTGCGACAGGTTTTTTTCACCCTGTTAATTCACCTTCCACTACCCACAGTCAACTCATGGACAACTGTACCCAAAGGTTAATTAAAGGGATTAGTAACTTTATGGTTCACATGAGATCATTTACCATGAATGGCCAGGAAGAATAGCAACAGCTGAAAAAGCATTTTAGGACTCGGAACTCTTAAAGGTAACCAGGCCAGATTTTTTAAAAACATACTGACTGCAGTGATGATTAGTTTAATCAGGATTTTTTCAATCCTCTGAACTAGGCTTTTTTGTAGGAAGCTAACTACCTTTAAAGATTTGTCGCCCTTCCCTTACACTCTTCTTATAGTCTTTACTCAAATGGTAAATAATAGAAGTTAATGTTTCAACTTACGTTTCTCTTTTGCATTGGTTTTCTCATAACTTAGAGATGTGACTTTTTCTTGATGAATTGGACAACAATAGACCTCATCACAAGGCAAAATGTCACAGAAACTCACTTCAGGAATCCTGCTGACGGGTTGCGTGGTCTGAGAAATTGTGCTTTCCTCTGGCAGTGCTAAAGGAGAAAAATAAAACAACCTATAACTCTCACTAGCCCTCTGTGTCTATTGGCATTTCTACTGCCAGTTAAAAGCCTGTTATGTTTATGCAGACCAGAAGAGATACAGTACCTGCTGTGGTGGTAGAGGGAGAGAGTATAACAGAACTTGAGGTACTGCTGATGGAGAAAAATAAAAACAATATATTAAGACATGGACATCAGAGTTGTGGACCAAAACAGATTGGTCCACAATCTACTGCTGATTCACTGACATTAATTTAACTACTTGCCTGTAAACTGGATGTTTTTCAAAGCCTCTGTCGTAAATGCTAAGTAAATACAGGGTTGATATTGTCAAAACGCTGTAGAAAGAGAATTATTCTGTAGATTTACATCCATCTCTTATGTAATATTATATGAATAATACCTAAATACCACCTTGTCCAAATGTAATAACACAAGTGCTAACTACCCAATTACTTCCCCCTTAGTGGGGAAAAACTTAACTGAATTTAATGTGGTTTAGGTCAGATACTTGTATACAGCTAAATTCAACACAAAATATGGACAGTTTTCCATTGTAAACAGTCGCAACACCAGTTCAAAGTAACCTGTTCACAGAGAGATTACAAGCCACAGGTTTTTGGATTGGAAATAGAAAATGGCAATCTCAGAAGTTCAGAGCATAGTCTCCTTTCCATAAGTCCAATGCCGTAAGTTAAACTTTCAGAGTGGCAGGACTGCCCACCACATTGGGAACAAGCCCAGCATCATTTCACACAACAGAATCACTCTGTGCATCAGAAATTGTACTTAGGCACGAAATGACTGCATAAAACATTCAGAGTCTCAGGAGTCCAGCTTTGGACCCATAGCACAAGTCACTGAGATACATTCACCATACATTGTGACATGGATAGAGATTAGTTGTGTGCACCCCATCAGTATCTCACATACTAAAATTATTTCAATGTTACAATATTACAAAGCTTATTCACTGTTAATTTTAATGCATTGTGTTTGAGTAAGAAGGGAGAGAAGAGGAAAAAAATTGCAATCTTCTTTCTGGTAAGTAGGAAGAGGAAGGGAGAAGCAAATCAACTTGTTCATAATTGATCGTTACCATAGTGCCATAATAGCAATCAATGCTACTACAATCATCCAGAAAATCTTCATGGAGCAAGACTCTTTCCTCTTTGACCAGCAAACCTAGATAAAAAAAAGTTTGGTTAAGTTGCGCTTAACTAAGCTACTAGTAATAGATTCAGAAATATGACATTAGTCTGACTTTAATCTTTCAGAGTAACCAGACAAGTCATCCTTATCTAAGGGTCAGTATCTAAAGAGAAAAACTTAAGTAATGAAAGGCTCCCTAAAACTGTGAGTGCACAGCAGATTGTTGATAGTCTGAGGACAAATACATGACACAAGAAAAAAGCTCCTTCCCTTTTTTTCCCTGTCATTATTCGCACCCTTGGAGTATTTTAAAATCAAATTAAGAACTCAGTAAGCAGTGGCCAGAATTTTAAAACTGCAGCTTTCAGTATATGCTCAGACCATGTTAAACTTGGGCTGGTGTAAATGCAGAAGAAAGGCACTTCCTAAACAAGGAGGATGATCTTAGATGATGGAGCACTTGATTGTATAGGATAAAGAAGGTTTGACCTATTGTTTTCTCTTGCTCTTTGGCACTGGCAAAAGCAAGGCAGGCAAATGAGCACTGGTTCATCTTCAAGAGCAGGACTTTGCAACCTAGGAAGACTGTCTTGAAAAAGATCAACAGATAATTCTCTAACTCATTCAATCTCTGTGAAAAGGGGTTTCCTCTTTCTGCACCACAATATGGGCAAGAGGAAATAATTCAGTAGTAGCAGTGACATCCTGTCCAGCTCTTAACCACCCAAAAGAGCATCATTATCCTGTACAAAACAGAAGATGCTAATGGCAAACCGCTAAGAAAGGCTCATTCAAAGAAGAAAGTTGAGGAACAATTATCAATGTACAGGCTTCCAAACTGAAATGAACATATCTGTACAGTGCTGCACTGCACAGTGTGAGCACACCTACAGGCTCAACAGTTCTCTGCTGTTGAGTTCTCCTTCACACCATTACACAGTATGGATCTACTCACACTCACAATGTGTAAGCAAGAAGTGGAAGTGTCTCATATGTATTTTTCTATCTCAGCACAGTTAGTTGTTAAGATTCTAGCATGTCAGTAAATAATTCTGGCTAAGGAATTGGATATTATACTTCGAAACATTAAAGCTTTCACCAATATTTCAGCACTTATAAAAACTGTCTCAGAGGCATATTTCATATATTTATCTTTACTCACCTTGCTGTATTTTAGCGGGACTGATTTTTTTGATGGCAAAAGACTAGTAGCTCGGCTATACTTGCTGTAAGAGACAAGACCTCTTTAAATTTCAAATGCTTCAAAAACTAATGAATAAAAAAGACATTTTCAATAGGATGTTAATGTCACTTGCTTTTGCAATTTTAACGGAAAGACAGAAGTGTCACCAGATTCATTTTCAAGAACAAAGGCCTCCAGTTAACTCATTCAGGTGAATGTTTTTAAATGCTACATTTGATTTTAAAGAAAACTTGGAGAAATGGTTTAGCAATAGGAAATGCTCATCACTTTCATTGAAGTACTAATGAAGTACTTCCTTGCAAAAGAAGCTCTGCAGATTTCTCTTGGGGGG